AAATTTGTATATATATATATATATATATATATATATATATATATATATATATATATGTATATATATATATTTGTGTACTTTGGCAAAATTTTCTTTATGCACATTTCATTGAATCCAACAGACAAAGTGGTTTGATTTAGTTTTTTATACAATTTCTGAAGTTTTTTCTTTTCAGATGATAAATTATATAAAAACCGTTTGAATGTTCTTTTTTTTTCCCAAGTGCTTTCATATATATATATATATATATATATATAAAAGCAAGAAAAATATGAGTATACTAGTCAAACTAAAGGATAAACCTCAAGTACCTATATCCCATATTAATTATTACATTTGCATATATATATATATTTTATAAGCTAAATGTTATATCTCATTAAAAAATTGTTGTTGCTATTTGGATTTTTAGCACCAGTGTGATTTCTGTGTGCAATTTAATCTTTTTTATTACCAAAAAGTATTTCAAACACTTCAGGGTTAAATGCAATTTCAATTTTCTTATATTGGAAATATGTTCTGGCTTTGATGGATATATTTGTTAGTGAGGCCTTTTGCTGGTCCAGTGATTTAATATAATATTCTTATGATATTCAAGATAATATGAATTAGTGGAATTTAGATATGTTTGTAACGTACTGATTTCCATTTTTGTGAGAAATATTATTAGAAATATTCTAACAATGCCAACTGAATTACCATATTTGACAGCATATAAGACACACACGAGTGTATAAGGCACACTCCAATTACAGCAGGGAAAATCAAGAAAAACTAGCAATTAGTAAAATTCATAAAATTATTAGTAAATGGTACAGCCTAGGCTATATTTATGATGTATTATTTTGGTTAAACAAGCCATGATTAAAATTAAATGAAAAATAATAGGAAAAAATACACAAACCTATAAAAACTTTATTATATCCAAAGATAAGAAAACAACATAAAAATCAAGCAATTATTAAAATTGAGCAAAACAGTACAGTCAAATCCATAAAATTTGTCGTTTTCGTTATCAAAACACATACATTTTCAATACTATTATCATTGTTGTTAAATAATGCGTCATCTTCTATTCCATTGAAAGCATTGCTAATGCCACACTTTTTAAAAGATTTCACAACAATTTTTGGTCTAATATTATCCCAAGCTTGCTTCACCCATTCACAGACTTATGCAATGCTGGGTCTTTTTATTCTTCCTGTAAGTGTAAGG